GTGCACACTCAAACGCTTGGAACACTAGGTTAAACAGGCGTCTTTCTTTTCTCCACTTTGTATTATAAACTACACAGAAAAAACTGAAAGGATAATACCAAAAAAAAAAACCACCCACATATTCATCTTGAAAATACAACAGTTGTTAACATTTTTACCACCTTTGCTTTTCTATGTGTATTGTTGCTGGCAGCGAATAATCTGAAAATCATCAGGATTCAACTCTAAACACTTGTACAAACACCTCCTAAAAGCCTCTTACATAACCACCAAGTCTCAACATTTAAGAGAATTAACAATGTTCCCCTAGGCGCCTCTCACGCCCCATCACATTCCAAACTGTCCCTTTGTTGCCAATACAATGTATGTAGACTTTTCCTTTTGAACCAGTATCTAGTTGCAGCTCCTTTGTCACATTGACTGTGATGTGTCTATGGTCGCCTGGAATCCTAAACTGGTCTCCCAGGCCACTTTAAAAACAACTTTGTGCTTTTTAAGGAGGCCAAGCCAGTCGTCCTGCAGAATAACCCACGTTCTGGATGTTTCTGAATATTTCTTCACGGTATCTTCTAGCGCCTTCTGAACAGGCTCTCTTTACAGAAGCACCTCTCAAGAAGACACCTTTTAGGGACCTCTGCTGTCTTCCTAGTAACGCTTTCCTTAGTAAAGCTCCTGTGTCCAGTGTTAGGCTGCAACCAGTTAAACCACTGCTTGGAATGCCATAGATAAGCACCACTTTGAGTCCCGGCTGTTCTGCTTCTCACTCAGCTCCCTGCTAATGTAACTGGGAAGGTATCAGATGGTGCCCAAGTACTTGAGTCCATGTCATCTATGTGGGATTTCCAGACAGAGTTCCAGGCTCCTGGGTGCAGTATGGTAGCCTAGCAACTAAAGTTCTCACCTTACACACACTGGGATCCCATATGGTGCCAATTCTAATCCTGGCAGCCCTGCTTCCCATCCAGCTCCCTGCCTGTGGCCTGGGAAAGCAGTGGAGGATGGCCCAAAGCTTTGGGACCCTGTACCCACGAGGGAGACCCAGAAGAAGCTTCTGACTCCTGGCTTTGGATTAGCATAGCTCCTTGCGACCACTTGGGGAGTGAATAATTGGACAGAAGATCTTCCTCTCTGTATATCTTTCTAATAAAAATAAAATAAATCTTTAAAAGAGAGAGAGAGTTCCAGACTGCTGGCTTCATCCTGGCCCAGCTTTGATCATTGTGGACTTTTGGGGAGTGAACTAGGGGATGGAAGATCTCTCTGTTTCACCTTCTTTCTCTCTAACTCTGCCTTTCAAATCAATAAATCTTTTTTAATAATTAAAAAAGGAAGTAAAAGGAAATGAAGATGACACTCAGCTTTGATGCACAGTGCACGTGGCAGAGAAGGGCCACTGCCTGGAGCCAGCTACACTGAGAGAAGCCCAGTTAGTCTTGTCTGCCTGGAAGGACCAGCAGTGCTGCACAGGAACTATAGCACCACAGATACATGCTATCACAGAGGCACAGGACCGGCCTGCATACAGGGGAAGACCTTCCTCTCCTCATCAGAGACTGGGTTCAAGCTCCAGCTGTGCTTCCAACTCTAGCTGCCCAACAACAGGTATGCCGGGATGCAACGTGTAGCAGCCCAAGTACCGGGCTCCAGCCACCCATATGGGACTCCTGACGTGGGTGTGGCCCAGGCATTTGAGAGTGAACCAGGAGATGGGAGGCAGTCTCCCAGCTCCCTTCCTCTGTATGTGCGCATGTCTGTCTATCAAACCAATAAAAATTTAATATAAAAATATTACAAATAAGAGCATGTGGCAGAATGGCAGTTGCTTCCTGAGATCGGAGGCAACACATCCAGGAGTGTCAACGGCACCACAGGAGGTGTGGCCGAGGTGGAGTAAGCATCAACAGTCCTGGGGAGTCATTTCTAGGAGCTGCGGCCCCTGAGCTTAAAGATCTCACGGCAGGACAGGAAGGCAGCCACGGTGTTCCAGACTGACAGCGCTGCCCACAAAGGATGTGGAGATCTGGGCCCTCCATTACAGAGCCCACCCATGCCAGAATCACCTGCCACAGCAGCATGCCACATGGGCTTCACCCCAAGGGACTTCAGTTAGACTCACACACCCACCCCTGCTAAGGATGGAGGGGCCTTAGTAAAGACCATCACCACCACCACCACCAACACACACACACACACACACCACGCCTTCTCCATACCTGGGTTATAAATCCATGTCTAGAATGAAAATGAGGTTCAGAGATTATCTTGCAAGGCTAAACTCAAAGATATTAAAATCTGGAGAGCCCAACTTGGAAATTCAGAAGTTTTGGCCCTTGTACGAAAAAGACATTGAAGCTCTTCCCAACTTCTGACCACGCACAGTCCCAGCTGCAGAAGGGTCCTGAAGCGCGGCTGATGGCCCCACCAGCCTCGGCTTCCTCCTGTCTCTGGCACAGGTCAGTCCTTTAGGAGCTCTGAGGCTCAGTCTGTCCAGATCCCACTTCCTCAGGAGCCTTACCCCGAGAGTTCCAAGTCTAAGGAAGAATATGAAGATTGTGACATCATGGATTTCTCACACACCGATTCCCTGTCCCCAGAGCCACCTTCAGGCCATGGCGTCTCCTCAGCAGCCCCTGCCACTGAGGACTCTGCACCTGCTGCCTGCAAGGGTAAGCTTGTTTGGGAGGAATCCTTGCCCAGGAGATTAATCTGAAAACATTGTATACTTGTGTCACAGGAAAAAAAAAAGTGTGGCCTGTTCTTTAATGTATCCACTTAGGAGTGACACATTGCATTTTCACCCATGACCTGATGGACCAGAAACAACCACGTGGCCTCAAGAAAGTAAGCGGGGCTGAGAAACATGGGGCAGCAGGGAACATGTTTGGGGAACACTATACTAGCCAGGTGGAGATGACGAGAGATGTTCACCACTCACAGCAAAATGGCTGGGGACACCCACTGAGAGTTCCCAGTCACCCTCACTTTCTCTGCCCTGAATTCCAGCGGCATCCTGAGGACAATGCCATCATCGCTTCCCTATCTGAGGAAGACCCAAGTGTCTACCTTGGTGGATTCCCACCAACCTTGCCTACAGGGGACCTAGCAGCATAGAGCTGCCTTCTCTGCATCTCCAGTTTTTTTTTTTTTTTAATCTTACAGGAAGGGACTGGATCTTGGAAGGCCAGAGAGTTAGAGATGACAGGCTGTGCACACACAGGCAAGGTGTGGCAAGCGTTTGAAAAGAGCCAGAAAACACAGCTGCAAATGCAGCGTGCCGTTGCTACCGCTAGGTGTCGCTGGTAGGTCAAGGCTAGAAGCCCGGGAAAGGAATCGAGCTTGGCAACAGCACAGGAAAGCAGCAAAGGATGCAGTTGGGTTGAAAAGACAAGAAAATGCCCTGAGGTGGCCACAAGCAGGCCTTGGTGGTCGGCTTGCCCGCTAGCACGCCTGGGTCCACGTCAGAGGACCCGGGTTTGATCCACCCACGCACGTTCTGACTGCAGCACCCCGCTAACGCAGACCCCAGCGGGCAGTGCGATGGCTCCAATGCTGGGGCCCTGACCCCCAGTGGGCGACCCAGAGTGAGGCCCAGGCTCCCGGCTCTCACCAAGTGCTTGTAAGACAGGTCTCTCTCCCCCTCTCCAAGACCCACTGGGCTAACACTGCTCTCACACCTGATTTGTTTTAACATTGATTTTATTGGAAAGTCAGATTCACAGGAGAGACAGAGGGAAAGATCTTCTATCTGCTGGTTCATTCCCCAAGTGGCCACAATCGTCAGAGCTGAGGAACCAGGAGCCAGGAGCTTGTTCTGGGTCTCCCAGGCAGGTGCAGGGTCTCAAGGCTTTGGGCCATCCTCTATTGCTTTCCCAGGCCACAGGGAGAGAGCTGGATGGGAAGTGAGGCCGCCAGGACATGAACCAGCACCCATATGGGATCCCAACGCGTGCAAGGTGAGGATTTAGCTACTAGGCTACTGAGCTGGGCACCTTCACTCTCTCAAACAAATACGTATCTGTTAAAACTCATGAGCTCTGAACCTAAGTATGAAGGCTTTGTGTTTTTTTATTCAAGGAGTTATAAAGAGGAAGAAAAATTAGAAAGTGAAAGCCCTCACTCTTCTTAAAAGAGCTGCTGTGAGGTTCCAGATTTTTAAAGAAAAAGTGCACATCTCTAGCTGCAGGAATATGTGGGTTCACACTGCGGCGGGCACGCCGGGTACCTCATCCTACACCGTGCCTTTTAAGACCCAAACCTCGGTGTCCACCGGGGACCTCCCACGCTTGCTCGGTAGTACGTTCTCGAAGCCGGCCCGTGCTGAGGGGCCTTCCAGCCATTGTCTCAGCGTTTCCTCACCACAGATATTTCTATATAAAGATTCTGTGCATTATGACAGACTCTTACAATTATATTTTGTCAAACCCACCGTTGAATCAACCACTTCTGAGGGGCCGCAAGAACGCAGCGCACACACGGCCCGCGTCACGCGTCACGGCCGCTACCGGAACCTGGGAGACCGACGCCGGGGGCGGGGTCACAGGTCACGTGCTGCGCCCCGCCCCGCCCCTCAGAGGCGCCCTGGTTCGCGCAGCCGCAGCTGTGAAGGACACGGTGGGCGGGAACTGGGGGCGGGGTATGCGTCACGTGCTCCGCCCCGCCCCTCGAAGGCTCCTCGCGATACGTCGTCCTGGTTCGCGCAGCAGCAGCTGGGTGGGCGGGGTTCCTTGGTCACGTGTTCTGCTCCCCCCCGCCCTTCGGAAGCTCCCCACGGCCCTGACTCCCTGGTTCGCGCAGCCGCAGCAAGCGGAGGCCGCGGTGGGCGGGCTCCGGAGGCGGAGCGAGAACTCGAGAACGGGTCAATTGCCTTTTCATCGCGCACGATTGGCCAGCCGGGAGGGGGGGGCGGGCTCTCGGCGCCAGCCGCTTCCGGCCGAGTGGCAGGCCGGAGCAGTGGCGGGCACTTTGGGTGGCTGGGGTCTTCCAAGCTGTTTCCGAGGTCCTGGGAGCGGTTCTACGATGCTTCCACCGTGGAGCCTCGGCCGCCACCTGCTCGGCTAAGTTGGGTCTGTCCCGTTAACGAACGCGCTGTCCCTGCCAGGGGTCACCTGGGGTGACTGCGACCCTGGTGGGAGCGAGTCCCACGCACTGCCCCCCAGCACACCGGGGTGGCAGACCCTTGGCAGAGACCTGCGGCTCAGAAACGAAACTGTTTGTCCCACGTCGCACAAAGCCGGGAATCGAGCCCAGGGGGCACTCCCGCCAGTGACCACAGAGCTTTTATAATCAGGCCATCATGACAGTTTTCAGGACAGCTCCGTGACTGTTTTTAAGATATTCGGCAAGTATCCAGTTTTAAATATCTGTGGATACAACCCATGCACATATGAGTGTTCTTTGCAAAAATATCGAGGCCAGTTGTCTGACAGATTGGTACACACCAGCGTAGATGTGGCAAGCCATCCCCTGTGAGATTGATTGCTGACAGGTGGCTGTGCCTTCAGGATGGTTTGCTTGGGGCCACCTGTTCTTACAAGCTCACTGTGTGAACGGACTAGCTTTGTCCGTGATGGTTCTTGTGAAGATTAATGAGCTAATAGATGAAATGGGTCCCCTTAGTAACTCAACTGACAGCTACTGTTAGCTGTTACTACTTATTTTTAAATCACTTTTATTATTATTATTTCCACAGCGAAACAAGAACTGGTACTAGTGGGGCTGTTTCTGTTCCGGAAACTAAATGGGAGGCTGTGTCCCTGCAGATAAGCGTTGTGATAATGCGCAGGCGCAGTCCCGAGACCTAGTCAAAGCACCTCAGTCATTGCTCAAGGGGAGAACCGTGTAAGTACCTTTAATTTCATATCTGTTCTGTCCAGTGTCTTACGGAAACTTCACTGAGTTCCAATAATAGGGTCTTTTTTTTTTTTTAAATTCAGTCCTTGTTGGATAAGTATCCTGTATCCCGAATCTCCTGCTCATTTATGGTATTCTGTGGAGTAAGTTCTTTATGAAACTTCAGAGACAGAACAGACGTTTTTCTGGAAGACAGTTGTGGAACAGAACAACTGACATTTTCAGGAGAAAGTTTTCATCTACTCCCCAAACCAGGTAAGTTTTTTTTTTTTCTCTCTCTCCATTTTTTCTTAAGCTTCTGTTGGTCTCAAGCTGTTGTAAAACTTGCTAATCACGCGTGTTCCTGAAAAGTGGCCGGGAAGTTTGCCAGGTGTACTCACCGCAGAAACTCCCCCTCGGTGAGGCAAGCATAGGTTATTCAGCCGGACTTACGCCTCCTGTGTGTGTATTTGAAAGCATCATGCGCACACTGTAAATATCTACCATTTTATCTGTCAGTGTTAACAGTTTTTTTAAAAAAGATTGTGCTCATACAGAGGACATGTGTGGGAGCGTATGGGTAATTCACCAAAGATACAGTTGTTACAACGCGCCACGTGACCAAGCCGGAAAGAACCATAACATCCCCAGCGCTGAATTGGGAATAGTCACCAGATAGTGCAAACAGTGCCGTGTGTGGGGCGTGGCGGCACTGGCCTTGAAAGGGTGAGATAGTGTGTTCCGTAGCAGAAGGCAGTGCCGTGGCCATCGCTGTCTGAGCTCTATCACTGAGCCCAGCCTGCCCTGGTCACTTCTTATCAGTCCCTTCAGGGGTTCCAGGCTCTCTCGGTCCAAGGCTGAACTCTGAGGAAGGACTGAATTTGGTTTCTGTGTGGGAGTTGGGAGAGCTCAGTGAGGTTCAATGTCAGTCTGGGCCTCCTGTGTTCTGTTACTTGCTTGCTAGGAGTCTCTCGTTGACAGCAGGGGAGAAAGAGAGCTATCCATCTCTTCCTCCTTGAATGCCAGGTTGGGAGTAGCCATTCCCGGTTCTCGGGGAGCTCATTCAGGATCCCCACATAGGCACGTTTGCTGATAGAAAGTGCAATTGCATCTCTTTTTCTGGAGTTTTGGATCCTTTGCTGCATGATTGTAAAGTAAGATGAAACTTAGAAGCTAATACTTTTACTGAAAGTAAAATGTTGAAAAGAGCAGTTTTAAAGATAAGAATGAACTAGATATTTTGAGACACTTAGGAAGTGTCATATTTCCTATCATCTCTTCTATACACATTTATGCTGTGAACATACATTCATGATGTTTGGTTTGCCTGGTTTTGAACTGGAAAAAGAAGCATACTTTGAATTCTTTTGAAGTTTTTTTCATTTAAAGCTACATTGTGGTGTTTTATTATTATTATTATAATTATTCCTTCTTTCCTTCTTTCTGGAGACGGAGAGAGAAAAGCCTCCTTTCTTCAGGTTTAGTCTGAAATGGCCACAGAAGCTGGGGTTTGGCCAGCCAGAGAACTGAATCCTGGCCTCCGGGGTGCCCGTCAGAGCCTTGACTCCTTGGGCCACCACCTGCTGCCCCCTGGGTGCGCCTGGGCAGGTGGCAGGAGTGCGGAGCCCCGCTGGAGTCAGCACAGACCTCATGACGTAGCATGAGCGTGTCCCAGACAGCATGGTTGCCCCAGGACGAAGGCCTGGCCCAGGAAGCTGGGTTTGGTTTCTGTTTTTGAACTGATGCAACTTGATATAGTGATGCATTTTCCAGTGACCATGACCTGCCAGTCATCTGCTCTGCTGGTGGGTTCTGAGCTGTCCGTGTCTTCTGTTGCTGTGACTCTTCTTGGGTGTGTCTCCTGACCACCTGTATGTATTTTCTGGCCTATGTCTAGTGTGGGACACTGGATTGTCCCAGAAATTCACACATTTCCATCTTAAGCCTGGAAATGAATCTAGGACATGTCCTGCCGGAAGCGTGGGGAATTGGCCCTGATTTGGGCAGGCTTTAAGCACCTGGAACAGAAGGAATGCCAACAGTCCAGTGTTTATAAAGGTTGCATTTGCTCCAGCTACAGAAACTCACATCCATTCATCTCAGGAAATCCAGCCTGCCCTGTGATCAGGCCTGCTTGATCACATTCAGTGTAGCTGAACTAGCGTTGTAAATGAACCTTGCCATTTCCCTGTACGTTCAGGCAGCATGGATCCTGACGGCACTGAGCAAGGTCCCGAACAGACCGAGTCCTCGCCTGTGTGCGTGGGCACAGAAGTGGACCTCCAGAGACGGGAGCGGATGACGGCTGTCGTGCATGACAGGGAGGTGGTCATTTTCTACCACAAAGGAGAGTACCACGCCATGGACATTCGCTGCTACCGTAAGGCCTTACTGTTCCCGTAGAGCTGTGTTCCTCCCCTGCAGGCGGCCCCCGTCTCGCTGCCCTCGCTGACCGATGTGCTGTTGCATTCCCTTTCAGATTCAGGAGGGCCTCTGCACTTGGGGGACATAGAGGTACGTGCCGTCAGCCTCATTCCCGGCCAGCTCGATGCTTCCTGCTTATGATGTTCTACTCTTGTCTCCAAAATAATTTTTGTTTAGGTTTAGCAGCTATATTTTATTGGCTCTAAATACAGTTGCCACTGTTCTTTATAGCCTTATAAAGAAAAACCACTGCATAGATAAATATAAGAATATTCATGTCTTTTGACTAGATGCGTAGCCTATGGATACAGTTGCACAAATACTTAATATGTATAGGAATGGTTTGTTGTAGCATTGTTCATTAGAAGGAAACTTGAAGGCAACCTATATTTAAAAATATATATATGTATATATATATATTTATTTTAGAGGCAAAATGAGGCATTATTATTTTAGAGGGAGAAAGAATGAGAGTGAGAAAGATTGTCTTGCATCTGCTGGTTCATTCCTCAAATGCCTGCCATAGCCAGGCCAGGTGCCAGGTGCCAGGTGCCAGCAACTCCGTCCCGGTCTCTGACATGATTGCCCAGGACCCAACAACTTGGGCCATCCTTTGTTGTTCTCCCAGGTGCGTTAGCAGGGAGCTGGATCAGAAGCCGGGCAGCCAGGACTCAAGCTGGTGCTGTGACAGTGTCACCACCACAGGCAGAATCCTAACCCACTGCACCACAACGCCAGCCCCACCTGAATGTCTGTGTGATGGGACATGGGTGCTGGGATGGAGGGATGGCAGCCACGTATCTATAAGTGGAAGAAACAGGTCAAGGATAAGAATGCTAATGGGATTCTATCTTGGCGTCAAACAACACAATTTTATTTTGAACATGTTGCATAATTTTCATTTTTATAACAAGTCTACATTTTAATTAAAATGTCAATATACTTTTGAAGAAAGAAGCCACACTTTGAGGTCTTACCTGAGAAGGGATGGCCAATGGCCAGGACTAGACACTGATCTCTCTCTGCCCCCTCTTCTCTTGCCCTTCCTTCTCCCCCACCATTCCTCTCTCCTCCTGCTTAGCTGGGAAGCACAAGGCTTGAAGTTGGCATTTCATTCTCTTCCTACTTGACATCTGCTGGTTCCCATCCCCGTCCTGTTGGGGGACATGTGTGTGTGAGTTATGAAAATGTCAGGGCTTGTACTGTGCTCCTGGTGTGGAGGGAGAATGTCAGGACCGCCTGATGATGGTGTCACAGACTTGCCCCGTTCCTGTCCATAAGGAGAGCCTTGGGCCCGCAGTGCTCAAAGTGGGGTCCTTAGATCAGCCGCCTGAGTGTCTTGGGGAGCTTCTCAGACTGACAGACTCCTAGACCACCTGTCACCTCCCCATCCCCCAGGCCACTTCTTTTCCCCCCTTCCCCTCCATCCCTGCCTTCCTCTGCAGTTGGCCTTTACAGAGTTAAAACAGGTTTGCATTTTAAAATATGCCCTGAGGTTCTGCTCTTTAAAAAAATAAATAAACTTGCTGAAGCACTTCATTAACACAGTTAAAATAACAGTTTGGTACCGCCCTCACGCCCCAACCCACCTCCGCGGTGGCTCTGGTTGCAATCTAACCCTCAGCCTGTGGCGCCAGCGTGCCTTATGGGCACTGGTTCCAGTCCTGGTCACTCCATTTCCAATCCAGCTCCCTGCTGATGCACCTGGCAGAGCAGTGGGGGATGGCCTAAGTCTTTGGGCTTCTGTACCCTCATGGTAGACCCAGGAGAAGCTCCTGTCTCCCAGCTCCAGACCTGCCCAGCTCTGGGCTGTAGCAACTGTTTGGGGAATGCATCTGTCTCTCTCTCCCTCAGTATCTTATTTTCAAATAAAATTAATACCTTAAAAAAAGTTTGCTCTTCCATTAATATAGACACTGGAGCCTTCAGTAATTCCTGCAGACTTTGTACCTGGAGCTCGGCTTTCCCTGAGAGGCACCTGAAGCCCTTGCCCCACTTCTGTCAAGCAAGTGACATTACAACAGATTGCAGCACAGCCGCAGTCACCCCGTGTGGTTGCCATGTCTTCGAGAGCTGCTAAGAGGGCTGGAGCTGGCTGTCCTCAGACTGAGCTCCTCTTGGCGCAGAGGACTTTGCAGTGGGGAGGGGACAGGAGAGGCCGCTTTCTCGGACCTGGCTCTTCCACAGTCGATTCTGAGTCTGAGGTTTGTCATGAACATTCGAAATGTCAACTCCTAACGCTTTTCTCTCCCCCTGCAGGACTTTGACGGGCGACCGTGCATAGTTTGTCCCTGGCATAAATACAAGATCACTCTGGCAACAGGAGAAGGACTGTACCAGTCAATAAACCCCAAGGATCCCGCAGCTAAACCCAAGTGGTGCTCCAAAGGAATAAAGCAGAGGATTCACCTGGTGACGGTGGACCAGGGGAAGATTTATGTGACACTTTCCAAGGAACCTTTTAAATGTGACTCTGACTTTTATGCCACTGGAAATTTCAAAGTAATTCGGAGCTCTTTCTGACTTAAAAAAAAAAAAAGTATGACAAGGAGAAATGTGTATGTTTGAAATATGTTAGGATTACTTTGTTTCAACACCAGAGTTCTTTTTTTCTAACAGAGGCACAGCTGTAACTTACCTTTAAAAAAAAAATCACAGAAACCAGAGGTAGTAAAGTGCTTGGGTACTTGGTGTGATGTGAGTGATGGTGAGCAATGAATGGAGTAATTTTTAACCCAGGGTCTTGTCCCCCACATATTGAAAACACTAAGCACAAACTGGAATTGTGTGCAAATAGGAAGAAAGGTTACTTGGCAGTGGGGGATCAACATACATTCACATGTGTGTGGGAGCCAGCCTGTACAGAGAAACACACAGCAGGAGTGGGCCAAAGAGCTGCGCGTATTGTAGGGAAAAACAAAAAACAAAAAATAGAAAACAGTTCCTGTGGTTGGGAAGGCATGTTCAAGGAGGCAAGGTGGGAGAGTGCAACAGCGACATCTGAGCCCCCAGAATCTGGGCACCAAGCAAGGTCCAGGGGTTGGGGGAGGGGTGCCCTCCTGTCTCCTGCTTCCTTTTACCTTGCAATACCCAGATGCAACAGATGCATCCTGGGAAGGCAGGCACCATGGTTAACAAATAGGCATGGACATGGACCCGGGGTGGGAGTTTGGGATGGCTTGTTACTTTCAGCTCCACAGACCTAACTAACTGCCTGCCTATTTATCCCACACCATAAAGATGACCAGGATCCATAGAATACATCTCCTGTGGTTCTCTGAGCCAAACAGAACCTGAGGGTTTGGGCTGTCTAGTTTTAGAGAAAAGTAAGTTGAGCAGTAGGCAGAAAAAATATTTAGTAGGAAGAACTTTTTTTCAAGATCTGTTTTTCTTGGAAAGGCAGAGTCACAGAGAAAAGGAGAGACAGAAAGATGCTTTATCTGCTGGTTCATTCAAGTGACCACAACAGCAAGAACCGCTCTCCCACATGGGTGCAGGGTCCCAAGGCTTTGGGACATCTTGGACCGCTTTCCAAGGCACAAGCATGGAGCTGGAAGGGAAGTGGAACAGCCGGGATATGAACCAGCACCCACATGGGATCCCAGAGGATTAGCCAGTTGAATCATTATGCCAGGCCCTTGACATTATTCTTACACAGTACAGGTGCTCAAGTTTTATTGACCCAGTTTTCCTAAACATATAACAGACTTTTCACGTTTATAAAATCACCTTTGTCTCTCTACCTCTTAGATTTAAAACAAAAGCCTCAGAAGTGAGATCCTAACCAGTATGTTAGACGTGAAACCCAGAGGCTGGCTCAGTGTTTGTGGCCAAGGCACGTGCCAGATGTTGAGACACTGCACGCAGCTGCTGCCTAGCCTTGCGAGATAGGAAAGTCTCAGGCAGCCAAGGCAGCTTGGATTGCAATGTGCAAGTGTCAAAATGTTTTTAAAACACGTTTTTAGACAACTCTGTTCATGTGTGCACTGGTGAGAGTTCCCCACTAAGGTTACCGTGAGGAGAGCTGGGGTTTTCTACCTTAAGAGTTGATGGGCAGGGTGGATGCTCACTTGGTTCAGCTGGTTTTACCATGCCAATTATTTATGGCTAGCATGGTTCTGGCTGCCTGATGCCCACATCAGGATATTTGTTGTTAAGTACCTAGATAACTGTGCTGGATACAGGTTGTGCAAAACCCAGCAGCATAGCAAGTTAAGCCTCTGTTTATAATGCCAGCACCCCTCATCAGAGCACTGGCTCCAGTCCCAGCTGCTTGGCTGTTGACCCCATTCCTTGCTGATACACCTGGGAATGCATCAGAAGTTGGCCCACGTGCTTGGGACCCTGTCACCCATGTGGGAGACTAGCTGGAATCCTGTGCTTTGGCCTAAACTAGCCAGTCCTGTCTTGTGGCTATTTCAGAAGTGGGCCAGTGGGTGAAAGATCTCAATAAGGGCCCGGTGCAGTGGCCTAGCGGCTGAAGTCCTCACCTTGAACAGACGGAGATCCTATATGGGCGCCAGTTCTAATCTCGGTAACCCTGTTTCCCATTCAGCTCCCTGCCTGTGGCCTGGGAAAGCAATCGAGGATGGTCCAAAGCCTTGGGATCCTGCACTCTTGTGGGAGACCCGGAACAAGCTCCTGGTTTCAGATCAGCTCAGCTCCAGCCGTTACAGTCTGCTGGGGAGTGAATCATCGGACAGAGGAATCTTCCTCTCTGTCTCTTCTCTCTGTATATCTGATTTTGCAATAAAAATAAATAAAAAATTTTTAAACCCTCAAATTGTTAAAAAAAAAAAAAAAAGACCCTCAGCAGCATATGTTCCAAGACAGACTAAACAGGACCAGAAACAAATAGGATGAATATAAACTTAGAATTCAGAGAAGAGCTGTCGGTCAAGATGGAAAGCGTGGTTCAACGTGCAGTCCTCTCAGTGCCACAGCAGTGTATGAAAGAATGCAAACCTCAGACTCGGCGTTCTCAGGCCTCCCCCGCCCGGAAACCCTCCCCTTTGGGTTTGCAAAAAGACAGTGAGTGGATGAGGAATGGAATGGGAAAGCTGTGCTGGCTGAGCCCCTAGCCACGTATTACTACGTTTCCTTTTCTACTGGAGCGTGGACAGTAGAGGGATACAACCCTGGCCACTCCTTTCTCAGCCTATTAAACAAGCCAGCCCTGGACACTGTGGCCCCCAGGGACAGAAAGCACCCTATCTCCCAGGGGAGTGCGTCCCAGCCAGATTCATCAGGACTGGCAGATCACAACACATTCCAGAATGTACCGCGCGTGCACACACACACACACACACACACATGCAAGAACCCAGAGCACCTCCTGCAGGCACAAGCTGTGGCCCCTGTGACGGGCACGCTGCCCATGAGACAGGGTTAGTCCTGAGTAACATGGGTTTGATTTCTTTGGCTTGAGGTTTGAAACAGTATGTCCTGTCCTTGCAGGCAGACCACTTCTCAGCAGATTTGTACATAATATGTTGTTTAATAAAATTACAGCATTCATAAATGGCAAGCCTCTCATAAAAAGTCACTTCAGGGGCAATAACAGGCCCTCAAACTGCACATGTATCCTGTTTTTTTTTTTTAATTTCCTATAAAGATATATAATTTTTAATGGGATTTTTTTCTTCCTCCTAAATAATAGATACGTAAAACAGGTCTTTCATAAAAACATAAACACACCCGTTTTATAAACAACCATCAAACCCACAATAGGGTGACTTTCCTTATTGATAAATCATAGAGCCATATATTTGTGTATTCTGCATCAACTTCACTTTATTTTCTCTACTATATAAATACCAGAGAATGACGCTCTTCCCGCTCTTCGGCCTCCCGTGGTAAATGGCAGAGCACCCAGTGAATGCAGACCCATTTTGGAGTTCTGGCAGGTGAAGGGTGCCACTCGATGGACAAGCCCTGGGCTCTGCCCAGGGATATCTGTGCTCAGACCGGCTCACTCGTCCATTTCAGCCGCCTGGTCGAACACCGAATGTAAGACCTGGATCTTGTTATTCTGCTTGTTGGCAGGAAGCTCAGGGCGAGGTGCGATGTGGTCTGGCTTCTCCGGCAGCGACCTGTAAGGTTTCACTTTGATTCCACTTTCAGAAAACCCAGGTACTGTGAGTGTGGGCTGGGAAAAGGCTCTTCTAGAATGTTCTTCCTGCTCTCGGGTTTCCCTGAAGGACTCTTCTTCTTGGAAAATGGTCTTCACCTTCTCCAGCACAGCATTAACACAGACTGCCTGGGTAACAGAAAAGCCCCCGAAGTCAAGTTTCCCTTTAAGCTCCTAACTACAGAGGAGCCATGCAGTGTTGGGTATCATGGCATGGAGGCAGCACTCCTGATGCATACTGGAGACTGGTTCCTGGTTCTAACACACCACGACCGACCGAGAGAGCAACTTAAAACCTCGCGTGTACTGGCGAAGATGCGTTTTTACACAAGGCTTACATCTTTATTCACCTGGCTTGATTAAACAAACCCTTTTCTGAGTAGTGAGATTTGCTCCCCCCCCCCCCCGACATATCAATATCTGAAAGTGAGTTTTGGCTTTCAATTGCCTCTCCCTGGGAGTTGACTTACACCCAGGTGCACAATGGGAAGGATGTAGTTATCACTTTGGGTTAAGATTTTGAGGAACCAGTAGATGGAGAACTGCTAAGCAAGCATTGATCTACTCCCCTACCCAACACTGTTCAATAGAACAGGAGTGTCAAAATCGAAACAGGACTCTATTAAACTCGCTGCTACGTAGTTGGGACACAAAGTGTTTAAGACAAGTCCACGAAAATTTTTTATAAAAGCAATATTTCAAGTGATCATGGCCTGTGCACACTTTGAAGGGTTTCCAGTAAAAGGATGCAGTCTTGTGCTCCATCGGCCTCAGCTGCTGCACCTGCTCCTCCCCTCCTCCCCCACCTGCCCCTGGCTATGGAGTGTGCAGTGAGCGTGCCCAGGAAATGAATGGTTCATGTGCCAAGGGGAGGAGGTCAGGGGAGAAAGCTTGCACAAGTCATTCTCCCTACACAAGGACAAAGGAACTGTTTGGGGCCAGTGGGACAATGAGACCGGTGCAGTGACCAGCGTGAGGGACTCAGACCAAGTTTGCAGAAGAAAATTCTGGGAAGGCCCCGGGTCTTCACTTCCTGCAGGCTGAGATATTACCATGCCAAGGCACAGATCTGTGTTTCCCTGGTGCTGGAGGCCGTGAAGCCTGAGGCAGCAGCACACCTGGCTCCGGGGCGGCCAGCCTTTCAGTCTCTTAGCAGACACTTCCACTTGTGTCCTCTTGAGGTGTGGCAGGGACGGTGCAGCCCTCTGGGCCACACACAGGGCACAGATCCTAATCAGGGGAGGTTCTAGCAGAGTCCCCACCCTGCTCATACCAGCGCCTGGAAAATCCCGAGACTAAATATAAAAAAAAATTGTCATTTACACATTTCTTTTGTGGGCCTACCTGGCTTATCAGAAGGGTATGTGTTGAAGACGAAAGTAACCGCAGAATGATACCCTCGCTTGTGCGTGATATTAACAACTGGACAGCACTCCACTGCACAGTATCATCACTCACATTAGAAAAAGAAATTCCTATGTAGATGCTAATAATTTCCCCAACTTACCAGATAAATGAGGGCTGCATAGGAGGCGTACATTATGCTGGTTAGCGCTGTCTTTGCCGGAAAGGAAAGGATCTCAAACAGAGAACTGTTCCGAGTCTGCAAGCACAGAGGAGATTGTCTCAACAAAACAAAAATGTCCAGCATTTCTTTGGTATTTTACAATTTTGTTGTAGTGTAAGAATTTAAATGCTTTGCTCCCTGTACACTGTGGAAATGAACTGGCTTGATTTTCTGCTTTTAACAAGAAGACACCTTCTTTTGCTCATGGAAACCTGCACCCAAGATGCATGGGTTCAAAATTCTCTTACACCAAAATAAATTAACTTTCTAATTTCACTTTCCAGAAAACTTTCGAAGTCCTCTCTAGAAAAGCATTCACAAGTTCTAACTACTAGAACTTGTTTTCTCCAGTTGCCAACCGTGTCCACTAGGAGGGGCTGCTGTGCACATGACAAAAACTTCACAAATTCAGGTAATGATTCTTTCCTAAATTATTCACAACCTCAATGAAGCAAACAGCCATCTCTGAAGGCCAAGCATGTCCTGGAGATTAACGCCCGCTGGAAATGTGAAGCATGAGGCTGCTGCAGGCCAGGGGGCACCTTAGGTGCTCATGCAGTTTCAGGCCCTGCTTTTCGGACAGAGGATTGGCCTCAGAGTGGCTTCTGGTTGCTGATGGCAGATGTTGTCTCCAGGTGCAGCAGTGGGACAGCCTCAGTTTTAAGGGAACTGTCCTGGCCTACAAACACCACCCTGGTGGCCTGGCATGGGTGAACTGGGGATGCCAGGGCAACACCTCCTCCCTATTGAGCAGGAAGGTGGGTGGCACGGAGCCCCACTGCTCTGAAAGAACAGCCAGCTAGCTGCTCAGTGGCTCCAGTGGACTTCAAGGAGGTACGGGCTAGAGCTAATAGAATCGTGTGAGGGCAGACTCAAGCACGTACACAACCCTGCAAGTTCATTAGGAAGCTGTTTACAGCACTGAAACACCAACAGTCAGCAAGAGGGATGCTGGGAAAATGGGGCCCCGTCTGTCCAGTGGCTGATGATGCAACCTGAACAACATTTCAAAACCTGCTCCGTCAATAAATGCTGGCCTGCCGTTCTGGCCCAGCTTGGTTCTCTATGCTTTTATCAACATTCTCACCCCATTCTCTTCTCTAAAGATTTATTTATTTTTATTTGAAAGGTGAATTACAGAGAGGAGAGACAGAGAGAGATCTTCCATTCCCTGGTTCACTCTCCGTGTGGTTGCAATGGCAGGAGCTGAGCTGAGCTGAAACCAGAAGCCTAGAGCTTCCTCCAAGTCTCCCAGGTGGGTGCAGGGACCCAAGCACTTTCCCAGGCACATCAGCAGGGAGCTGGATTGGAAGTGGAGTAACCAGGACTCGAATTAGCATTCATATGGGATGCTGGCACTGCAGGCAGAGGCCTCACTTAGCACACCCTGGTGCCAACCACCTCACTTTTTTCTTAAGACATTCATGACACTGCTATTGTTATTATCCCCATTCTACACTGGAGAAAAGGAAAAGGTGAAACAGGTAACTTGCCCATGGAAATACAGCGGGACAGCAGCAAAGTGAGAATTAAACCCGGGACAGTACACATCAAGGCCAAGTCCCAGGACCGTACACATCAAGGCCAAGTATTTCACCTGACCATGATACTGTCTTGCCCCAGACTACACTCTGGAGGAGGAACAACAGGAATATAAATCAGAAAGTTCTGGTAAAGTGCTTAAGAGGACGGCGGCACATGGCAGCATTAAGGGATGCAAGCAAGCATTATTAGTACTCCATTACATGTGAGAAAGAACAAGATTCGAAGCTGTGAGCATAGCAATTCCCATTGCATACATACAAAACAGGCCCAACTAAAGTAATACCATTGGAAGGTGATCAAATGAGTGTCCTAGCAAGAATGGGACTGGTGACTAGAGGGCACCTCAAGGAGAATTTGAAGTGTGTTCAGGCTTTTAAAGACGTACTGAACTGAGAGCTGCGTGGCTGGCTAATCTGCTGCCCGCAGAGCCAGCATCCCATAGGGGCCCTGGTTTGAATCCTGGCTGTTCCGCTTCTTCTCCACAGCTTCTTGCTGATGGCCTGGGACAGTGGCGGAGGATGGTCCAAGGCCTTGGACCTGGAGGAAGCCCTTGGTTCCCAGCCTCGGACCCGCCCAGCTCCGACGGTGGTGGCCAATTCAGCGGTGCACCAACAGATGGAGGCAGAATCTCTCTCCGTAATCTGCCTCTTTCTTTCTGAAACTTTCAGTTAAAATAAGCTTATCTTTTTAAAAGAGAAAATGTGTTGAACTGTACACTAAATCTATGTGCTGTTGTTTATGCTTCATTTTGTAAAGAAAATATTTTATGCCCAGTGTTCTTATGATTGATACAAACATACCACTCTATAGGAAAATGTTTGGCCAAAGATCCACTGAAAGTACAAGAGATTTGTATAGCTGACATATATATAGACCTAATAAGGCTTTGCATCCATAACATAAGACACTCGTTACAAGATAAGCTCTATTCTAATGGCTCAATCAACATGGTTTCCTTTTATCTTGTAACAAGCCTATGTTGGGTTCAGGGAGATGAAATTCTCGCTTGTTTTCTCTGCTTTCCCAGGTCAGTGCAGAGCGCGTGTGATGTGTTTCCTAAACAACATTTGGAAAAGCAGAGTGTCGGGTAGTCAGCTCAGGTTTAGCTTCTTCGAGCCACTGCTGAACTAGGAACAAAACACGAGGCGTTTCTCCCTGCTACGACTGATGAGAAGCTGAAACCCAGAGGACCGCTTGGCCAACGAGCTGAGGGCAGCCAGGAGCGCGGCTTGGGGGCAGGGATGGGCTGCTGGCTGGTGTCTCCTTTCTTCTTCGTTCCTTTTCCGGCCATCCCAACTGCTCCACGAAGTGGTCGTGGGCAGGTTTAACCCCAATCCCTCCATTAAGTTAACCTGGAAAATTTCCTAGAGTCCTTGGCTTCTAGAAAGCGCTTCCAGGAAATGGAACCGCTGCTTTTTTTTTTTTTAATGCTTTCTTGGCTGGAAGAATGGAAACCTTTGTGCGCCATTAGATCCCACTATTGGCAAAGGTGGGGGAGGGAGGAGAAGCAGGTACCGCCCAGGGAACCACCCTCTTCGCAGAGTGACAAGGTTGTGGAGTCTGTGGAGGCACCCAGGCCTAGGGCGTTGGCAGGCCAGTCCACACGGACTAACGAAAGGCTTGCAGGTGTGAGAAAGTACGCTGTTTCTACCCACACATTTCTGTCTCAGATTTTGTCCTTGGCCTGAAAGTCACTAAAACTGATGAATTTCAAAGCCTGTGTGTTTGATACACGTTATGCATCTGAATAATTAGACTATCCATTGCCTAAGGGGACACTTTCTCACTATGTTTTAAATGCTTTTAGTAAACACTTTCTGTTCCTGTAACAAATTATCCTGGTAGAAAATATACCACTTCCAAAATTTATGTGGTTACTGGCAAGTGGCCATCTTTCCATTTTATGACGAACTTGCAATCCATGTTTTTCATATTAAAAGCCACCCTGTTTCATTTTTGGCTTTCTTTGAGTGGGACTCTTGTGTAGTTAAAAAAAAAAAAAACAGATTAAATCAGAGAAATGTAAATGAGGGTCTTTATTTAGATTGTCTTGGCCTATTTCAAAAACTTTGACTTAACCTTATTTTATTAATTTTAATTTATTTGCACGTCTGAGTTGGGAATGCCTTGGTCTCAATGTTACATCCATGTAGCTTTTTTTAAAATTTGGTAATGTTAACTGATAAAATATATGGCTATGTGAAGATTAAAAACATTCCAACCTTTAGCTAAACTCCCACACAATTTTAACTGCCTCATCTCATAAAATAAGTTGCTGTGTTCATTTTTTTTTTCATTAATGAAAATATATCACAAAAAGTCAATCATGATAGTTCAGAAAAAAAAAGAGTTGCTTACAGAAAGATACTTCAGGGGCTGGCGCCTTGGGTCAGCAAACTAATCTATCCTCCCCTTGCGTCCACCAAGATCCCATATGGGTGCTGGTTCTAATCCCGGCAGCTCCACTTCCCATCCAGCTCCCTGCTTGCGGCCTGGGAAAGCAATAGAGGGCGGCCCAAAGCCTTGGGACCCTGCACCTGTGTGGGAGACCTGGAAGAAGCTCCTGGCTCCTGGCTCCTGATTGTCTCAGCTCCAGCTCTTGTGGCCACTTGCAGAGTGAACCGGCATACAGAAGGTCCTTCTCTCTGCCTCTTCCCCGGCCCCTGTAAATATGCTGTCCCAATAAAAATAAATGAATCTTTTAAAAACAACAATAAACAAAAACAAAACAAAAAAGACTTCAAAACCTTTGTGGAGAATAAAATGAAAATACATATTTATTTCAGTGTAAATTTGGAAATCTGTGCATACGGGGATTCTTGAAAAATGCCTATTAAAAAACATGCATGGGTTCCAGAAATTGTTTTACACCAAAATAACCACCTTTTCACTCCATTTCCCACAGACGTCTAGAAGAACCCTTTTGCATGACCTGAGGGTTGGAGAAATATGAGGTCAACTAGGGGCGTGTTGTCCCGTGCACCGAGGGCAGGAGGGCTCTTTTCAGAGGCTGAGGGCTGTACTGTGCACCTTTAGTGAAAGGTGCTGTAGTCCTGTCTGATGCCTGTGTAGGGCTGTGAGCCCATCACGGGAAGCACCTTGGATCCTATAGCCCGGCGCCATCTGCCAGAATCAACAAGCCTGTCTGGAAGCTGACGTGTCTTGGCTGGAGCTGGGCCGCACGGCCCATGATGTAGGGCAGGGTTGGCAGCTACAGGCTTCACTCAGCTGGCCAGGCGGCGCGCAGGGCTGAGTACAGGCACTACTCTGTGAGCGCGCAACAACGCCAGGGTGAGAAGCCATCTGCCAACACAACTCACTCGGCTTTCCAGGACTGAGGCCTCTCCTAAAAGGTGCTTCTGTTCGGCTGCCTCAGCCCTGCAGAGGCCCCAGGGGCTCGCGTGGGGAGGCAGGGGGAGCAGCCTGAGTCAGCAGCTGCCAAGGGCCTCTCGGGCTGCAGGCTGGCCAGTGGAGCTCTGGGCCCCTGCACC